TGTGTGTGTGTGTGTGTGTGTGTGTGTGTGTGTGTGTGTGTGTGTGCGCGCGAATTAATCTCCCGGTAGGGCCGGTACTAATCGGGAGAGAACAATGGCTTTGCCATCCGTTCTGAAGTCGATCGTTCCTTGGCTCCGTGTCGGAACCTGCCTAGAGAGTGTCCTAGTTCTGTGCATGCAAATTTGCTCCCTGCCTCTCTCGACGTACCTTGTTTACATATTATCCTTGCATTACATCAGTGGCAGTTGCAGGATCGCATTCGCACAAGTTGAAACCGTCCGACTTGCAGTTCACCTTGCTAATGTTAAAATCCTCACGAACCCTGCCGTCGACAGATATTTTGACGTACTAGTAGATCCTGAATCGGGTTCCACTCCCAGTTTGCGCGTAGCATCACCGTCACCGTCACCATCGGGTACGCTACAAGAAGTTCGAAATGGGCCCATCGAATTGCACATCCTGGAGAGCGGACTCGTCTCTTACGTTGGAGATGTGTTTGCCAACCTGGACGAAAGACGAAACGTAGACTTAGAATTTTCTTCCGCTCCAGAAGACGTTACTTTTTCGACTGATGGGGTGGAGAGGAAAGTGCCGAAGCCGGGAGGAGCAAATTTTCCGTGCGAGTTCTCAGTGAAGCAGGCCTCTCTCTCTCAGAGCACATCAGATTCTGGATCTGGATCGGGATCGGGATCGGGATCTGGATCGGGATCGGCATCGGGATCTGGGTTGGGATCTGGATCGGAATCGGGATCGGAATCGGGATCGGCATCGGCATCGGGATCTGGATTGCGATCTGGGTCGGGATCGGGATGTGGATTGGGATCGGGATCAGGATCTGGATCGGGATCGGGGTCGGGATTGGGAGAGTTTTACAAAATTTCACATGTTGCTGGGCCATGGCCTAAACTGGAACCCAAGTTTGCGCTTGCAGTGACGAACCTTACGCCAGCGTCATCACTCGGTGATGCTGGCGTTGTTGCACTGGACGGAAGGACCTTAGTTGTCACAGACTTCCTTAATGGCCGTCTGCTGAAAGTGGATCTTGTCAAGAAACAGACTATTTACGTAAAACTAACTTGCGCCATCTTTCCCGGTTCGATAGTCAAGCATCCGTCGCAGCCGTCCTTCTTGGTGTCCTCCCGAGATCGGATCTCAGTTGTCCCCATGATGATGGGATCTTCCGTTTCGAGCATTGACGTCCTTGCGGGTCCGCAAACTGCAAGTGAGAGTAAAGGCTTTCGGGATGGCGACATAGGCTCTGAAGTTCGGTTCAATCTGCCGAAGTTCAGTTCCCGCTCACTTTATAGAAAAGGGCGCAGCCTCTACGTCGCAGAGAGAGCCAACAATGTGATTCGACAGGTGGACATTTATACCGGTGCGACGAGAACGATAGCTGGAAACACGAGCGCTTTGTCAGAATGGATGACTCGAGATGGTCCTCCTCCGATGTTCGCCGAGTGTCGCATTCCCTCTGGACTTGCTTTGACATGTGACGGCTGTAATCTATTTGTTGTTGACGGCGCGGGGGGTCAAATCCGATTGTTAACACTTCAAGAGCCGGAGGGAGAGGTGATAGAAGTCAAGACGATCGCATCGTTGCGAAACAAACACACAAACGAAACAGTTCGTCTTGGATCAATAACTCTTTCAAATGACGATCGGTATCTTATCATAGGGACTCGACAACCCTCCAGCCTGCTGAAGCTGAAGCTGAATGCTTCTGCCCTTCACCGATGCGACGGCAGTGCTGGCAGAGAATCGTCAATGCTAATTGCTCGATCAAAACTGCTCGAATACCCGACTTCCGCACTGCCATCGGCATCGGCACCGGCACGAGCTGACGCTTCGGTGTCACCTCCCTTGCAGATTCCCCAACGTAGCACTCGTAGCCAGCAATCGGACAGTTCTGGTCCGACGAAGTCGCCGATCGACACGGCGAGACACGACGTGGCAACGAGTACAATAATAGGTATTGCTGTCTCTGCATCCGCAGTGCTTGTTGGATGCGTTTTAGTCTTCCTCGTAGTGCGAAGATTGCAGAGTCCGAGTCCGTCTGATTCCGCTGCTGCGGACTTGTGGGGTGATACTGGGACGCGGCCGGGAAGTTCCGGCACTCCCTGTCAGCAGAGCCATTCCACATCAGATTCTGACGAATGCCGTGAACCCCCTTTAGGTGCTCTGAGGCGAAAAATGCGAGGGGTCGAGATGTTCGCCTTATCTCCGTTACGGAAAGCGACTGGCGGTTTCCATGCCGACTTTCGCCTCCCTGGGAGGAGAGGAGGGTACGGTGACGTGTACAGGGCACCCCTGATGGTGGGGGGGACCACCACCGACGTTGCGATCAAGGTAATGCGGGGCAAGCTTGATTATCACAAGTACAAGCAGTTTCTCGCCGAGGTCCAGACTCTGAGCCATGTCCGGCATCGTAATCTGTGCCAGCTGATCGGCTACTGCACCGAGAAAAACACGTATATCCTGGTCTACCCGTTCATCACAGGCGGCAGCCTGCACGAGCGGCTGCACGAGTCGACAGCCGAGGAGAGCAACAAGGCACCGGATCGACAGCAGTCCGCTGCTGCAGCCTGCAGCGTCACAGTCCCCCGGTCGCCCCTGGATTTGCGCGAGCGGATCGCCATTGCCAGGCACCTGGCAAAGGTGCTGCAGTATCTGCACCACGACATCGACCCTCCCATCCTCCATCGAGATATCAAGAGCCATAATGTGATGCTAGAGAACAAAGGGAAACACATCCGAGCGCTGTTGATCGACTTCGGCATGGCCCGAGACGGAAATCCCAGGAGCGGCTTTACGGTCACCATAGGGGAGGAGGCATCGAAAGCAGCACAGTTGAAGACAGTTGATACGGTGTGCAAGTGTGGCACGCCTGGATACATAGCCCCAGAGTACGCAATCGACTTCAAGCTCACTGTGATGAACGATGTGTACGCTTACGGGGTGGTGGTGCTAGAGTTGGTCACAGGGCGGAAAGCGCTTATGACGCAGAGGCAGAGGGATGGTGACACTGTGCAGGTAAGACTTGTCGATTGGACTCGTCCGCGCCTTTCGAGGGATGACCTGACATACGACAAGCTGGCCGAGATCGTCGATCCCAGCCTGCTGCAGATCCTGTCGTCCACGGAAGAACGGGGTGCTGTCTACAGGCTAGCGATGCTCGGTCACAAGTGCACGAACGACGACCCGCGATGCAGACCTTCCATGGCGACCGTTCTGGAGAGCGTGACGGAAATCTACAGGCGTGCAACAGCTGCAGCTATGCCAACGTTTTCAGTACAGACTCCTTTCAGCTCGCCGAGGCCGCGTTAATAATTATATTTATTGCAGCTGAAACAACCATGCTGGCATGAGACTCATCGGACTGGCAGTGCCTTTTTTTTTTTTTTTTTTTTTTTTTTTTGGGCCAGATTTTAATCTCCCTTCTTTTTTTCTTTTTTTTTTAGTTTTCGTCAGACAGTCACACGGATTTTTTCCGGCATTATATGGGTACGCCGGCCGGGTTAACTCATCACTCCCGGAATAATGTATACTTAACCAGCTGCAGTCTTTGGGTTTAACAAAGACATTTTAGTCTCCCTTCTTTAAACCGCTTAGCATCAAATAAAGCTGACCAGGAGCAGGCCTGCTTTCTTTTTTTCTTTTTTCTTTTTTTTTTCTTTTTTCTTTTTTTTTCTTTTTTTTTTTTAACGACAGGCCTGCTTTCTGGCTGATCCTGCATGATGCGGAAAGCATTAGTTATCTGAAATTTCAAATTTGCCCCTTCTCGTTCCATGTTGTGGAAGCTTAAAAAAAAAAAAAAGGAAGGTCACAGGGGATGGTGTTTCCAGTTTGTGACAAATGGGTCTAGGGGTAACCTGGGAAGAACTGGTAGAGCGCGGGGTAGGGTTGAATTTGAGCCGACTGCGTGGTGGTTAATGCCAGGGAGCGAACTCAGCGAAGGTCTGTAACATTTTTTTTTTTTTTTCTGTATAGAGCCTAAATATTGGTCCACATGCATGCAGCAATACTGACCGTAGTAGCTGTGTTTCCTGGCGTGAGGTACTTGTTAACTAACTTAACTTGAATACACAAGGCAATTATTTTTGTATTGTAATTGTGGATGCAAAGCATTACGTAGACGGTAGAACGTCCTTTTTTTTTTTTTTTTTTAATATTCCATCATCATCTGTTAGTTTTGCTAAAAAAATGAGATCCTTCAGTGTCCACCGCAGCGACACTGGAATAATTATTAAATCATTTGTTGTGATTTTAAATATTTGCTTAATCATTATAATGTCAATGTACCACGTGGTCCATGCCCTGTCGCATGCAGAGTCTGCCTCTGTTTCATGTTTCACTGTGACTGTGTGACAGTGTGACAATCTCGAAACTCAGTAAATGTGCAACAATTCGAGTTTCCCATGCTTCGGAGGGTAATTCAGTAAGCCTGTGCAACTCGGATTGAAATTTTGATCTATATCCCTTTTGATGATTCCTGAACTTCCCCAGAAGCCCTCCTTTTCATATACAATTTTAATATGGGCAGCAGTTACTGTACTGTACCACCTTCTGCAAAATGGTGGTAAACCAGGTTCGGTGTCAGAAGGTTAACCAGGTTAATAAGTGTCAGAAGTGACAGAAGGTAAACCAGGATACGTCACACGTGTCACGGCTTCTGTACAGTGGTGGTAAACCAGGTTAGGTGCCAGAAGGTAAACCAGGCTAAGAGTCGGAAGNTACGTCACACGTGTCACGGCTTCTGTACAGTGGTGGTAAACCAGGTTAGGTGCCAGAAGGTAAACCAGGCTAAGAGTCGGAAGGTAAACCAGGTTAGGTGTCAGAAGGTAAACCGGGTTAATAAGTGTCACACCTTCTGCACAATGGTGGTAAACCAGGTTAGGTGTTAGGTGTCAGGTGTCAGAAGGTAAACCAGGCGAAGAGTCGGAAGGTAAACCAGGTTGATAAGTGCCACAACTTGAAGGTAAGCCTGGCGTAGTCCCTGACCGTCAAGTTTAACCAAGGTTAAGTGTTCTCTGCCATTATAGGGAATGGCTACGCGGTAAGTGTCGACAGTTGCTACCAGAGGGCAGGGGTAAAAGTTAACAGTTAGTGAAAAACAGTATGATCGAGTCTACTGTCAACCATTCTGTGCATTGCGTATTAGCGGAATACTGTACAGTTTAATCTTGCAACTGCGCTTCTAGCTTCTGTGTTTTTTGGGGGGGGAGGGGGGGAGAGGGAGGTGGGGGGGAGAAGGGGGGGAGAAGGGTGTAAAGAATTCTAGCTATTTAATCCTGCTTCACAGTCTCATCTTACAGTGACTCCAATTAAGCAGACCTGGTTGAATGGGCGCGCAGATGCGCTGTGTTTTTGAATATAATTATCTTCTTTTATTTTATTTAGTTTTATTTTAATTCGTTTGTTTTCTTTTGTTTTCTTTTGTTTTCTTTTGTTTTCTTTTGTTTTCTTTTGTTTTCTTTTGTTCTCTTTTGTTCTCTTTTGTTTTCTTTTGTTTTTCAATTTTTTTTTAGTTCATTACAAATAGCAACACATGTGCTTGGTTAGAGGGTACTGTAGAGTTGGCTAGGTCAGCCTAGGTGTTAATCAGCTGGGCAAAATTGAACCGTCATAAATTGCACAGATTTAGGTGGAAATTTTAAGCTGTTGAGGGTCCGGCGTCCTTAGAACGCCAGACCCCTGCTGGATGTACGTTGGACTTAGCTGGAGTCCAGGGGGTATGGCCTTCTGAGAAAGCCGTACCCCCTGGATGTATCTGGATTTAGCTGGCATCCAGGGGTAATCATGGAGTTTTCCTCAGGAGCTTAAAATATCGACCTAAATCGGGCCAATTTATAAGGTTTCAATTTCCTTCAAAAAATAAAATATGTCCGTTTAACTTTTAACGAAATTGCTGTTTTAGAAGGAAATATGGTGCTGAGTTACACAATACACACACACACACAAAAAAAAAAAAAAAAAAAAACACACACACACACACACACGGTGCTGACTCTGCTGAGTTGGATGTTGGAGTGGTCTTTGTTGCAACGGTTTTTTTTTTTTTTTTTTTTTTTTTGTGTGTGTGTGTGTGTGTTGCAACTTTGATATTGGATGTGGATGTGGATGTCATCTGTTCTTCAGCCTTCCTGACAGGCAGTGACAGCTGTAAGCGAAGCTGAGTAATGCTCTCAGCATTCCGGGGTCCGCGGGTAGAATTGTCACTTGTGACGTCCCCGCCGTCCTGTTCTTAAATTCTGTAATTATGAAAGATGTTACGGTCTCTTTATTCAAAAAAAAAAAGAAGGGGAAAGTTTTCGATATGCCCCTGAACGTTCGATTTATTTGTGCCGAATTTTGCGGTGTGCCCCTCTGATGACCAACTTACCCTGTCGCGCCCCTCTGACAGCGATTGAAGTTTCCGAAAAACCCCCTGGTGTCGTCTGGGCCTGAATTATGTTCGCAATTATGCCCCCACCAGGCCACCGGTACCGGTTCCAAATTTCCAGTATGCCCCGGTAGCTCTCCTCCCAGGGCCAGGGGAAAGAGTGCCACCGGCGGCCACAAGGGCATGCTGGAAAGTTGCACCCCTCACAGACAAGGGCCTGTAGGAAAGTCGACAGGCGCCACTCGAGGGTGCACGACAGTGTACGTCGGCCGTCGGAGGGGCATACGGCAAATCAATCAAACCTTCAAGGGCATAATCGAATTTTTTTCCAAAAACATAACAAGAGCAACACACACACCTCTGAGTCAGCCGCTCTTTTGGGAAACCCATACTTAGTCTAGCTACTGTGGACCCTCTGTTGAACTTGCGAAGAAAAAAATGCACTTTTGGGATACCCATAACTTTCACGATGATCATTACTACGGTACATTCAAGGAAAACCTGAGGGACCCTAACTCTCTCTTACCCAGCTTCTGCTACTAAACATAACACAGAGTTATATTGACTGTATCATACTAGAAAGATAGCTTGTATACATTTGCATTGTGTTTGAGGGAACTTCAAGACGGTAGTTTAACGCTCTCCGGATGACACCAAAAGTTAATATGTCCTCTTGAGTCAGACCGAACATCAGTCGGGCCCCTGCAGATATGTAGTCTTATATCTGCATTTGGGGAAGCTGTCAGTCCAGGTACACCTATAATCACCTTCAGCCGTATGTATCGTCTCCGCCTATGACCAGGCAATAAACCTGCATTTGGGGCAGCTGTCAGTCCAGGTACAGAAGCTATAATGACCGGCTATGTTTTATTCGGGTGAAGTCGGTAGAGTCCGTGTAGTTAGAATTGTGGTGCTAGTTCACGCTATTGGCATTCACCCGAATAGAACGCACGGTGGTCATTTTATCTGTATTTGGGGCAACTTTTGGTCCACATTCATTTGATAATGACCAGGCCTTCACCCGAATAGAATGCCCCATCGTGGTCGTTTTATCTGTATTTGGGGCCACTTTTGGTCCACATACATTTGATATATGACCAGGCGCATTCTATTCGGGTGAAGACGGTTGAGTTAGTGCAGTTAAGGTTATCCTCCCATGAAAGGACACAATGTTTTGTTTTTTTCTTTACTTGGCAGCTTGCATCCTGTACAGAGTCCATGTTTGTGTTCCCATTCATCCGTCCTATGAAATGACAAAGTGGTTTGGAACATGTCCCAACTTCTTGTTCCGATTCATTCTTCACAAAGGGGAAAAAATATGGCTTCAATTTGAAAGTTCGAACTTGGCAGCCTGCATCCTGTAGACAGTCCATCTTCTTCTTCCCATTAGTCCCTCCTATGAATGGACAAAGTGGTTTCACACTTGGCAGCCTGCAACCTGTACACAGTCCATTTTCTTGTTCCCATTCATCCCCCCCATGAAAGGACATGAAAGGTGCAAGGACACAGTGGTTTCCCACTTGGCAGCCTTTTTCTTTTTTTCTTTTTTTCAGGAGAACCCCCTTCCAGTGATAGTGGTGCTTGCATTCTGTACAAACTCCATCTTCTTCTTCTTCTTCTTTTTCTTCTTCCCATTAATCCCTCCCATGACAGCTCAAGTGGTTTCACACTTCCCAGCCTGAGCAGCGTCCATCCTGTACATAGTCCAAGTTCTAGTTCCCATTCGGTCGCCCATTGAAATCACCACAACCTTCATTGACAAGCGTCCTTTTGCCAAGGCGGAAAATAACTGTGCACTAAGCTAGCTTTGCCGAGGCACCAGTGTGGCTTTTTTTCCTTCTCCTTCTTTTCGCTTTCCTCGCGAGCTGTTCTGGCCAACGACGACTGTTCATCGTACGAACCCTGAATTCCACATTTTCCAAACTGAACTTGGCCTGGAAAAGGTAGTTGTGTTTTAACCCCAGTCACTGTGGCCACTGGCCACTGCTTTACAGTTTAAAGCCCTTTAGGGTTTTGGGTTAAGGGCTTAGGGTTTAGGGTTTGGGGTTAAGGGTTAAGGACTTATGGTTTAGGGTTTAGGGTTTTGGGTTTTGGCAATGTGTGCTGCCTTCATCAACTTGAAGTGATACGATGAGCCATGATGATGACAACGATGAGTCGGACGCTAATAGTCTAAGAATAGATACATAATTAGTTCCCGGCAATGACGCC